CCCGACAAATTGGATAACACGATAGTAGAAAAGAAAGAGAAAAAAAGGGAAACTGAAGTCCAAGATGTTTTGGTTATGGCAGTACCCTGTCTATCGATTTTATTTGAAACCATTCGAGTTTGGCAGCGAGTGAGTTAATGTGTTCAATTTACTACAATTCTGTCATCTGCAGTGCAGGTGAATGAAGTAGTTTCTTTATTCAATGGGTAAATGGTCGCTTATAAGCACAATGGGGCTATCCCGAAAAATGCTGGTTTTGAGAAAATTGAAGGTAAGGGTTTTGGACCCTTGTTCAGTTTCTTTAAAAGACAAAGAGAGTTTTCTCTATAACCAAACAAATATATACACTAATGAAACCAATTTTCTCCTATAGGTAGGGCAATGCCCACTTTTGGTGTAGGTCAAGATTTCTGGAAACCCCCGAAATCTGGATTAGCCTGCTTGTCCTTAAAAGCGACCAAATACAAATCTGTGATCTGTGTTACAGGTATGGACTTGTGGACAAATTTCTCGGGGACTGCGTTGTTGAGAACAGCACGGCCAGAATGTTGGTGTGCACCAAACTTCTACTCTTCAAAAACTTTTCTCAACCAGTGAGTTTGAGTTCTTCTTCTGTTTTGTCTTTTTCTTTTGGAGCGTCACGATCAGGCTGGCTTCCTAAATGGTCTGCCGAAGGCAGTTCTAAAATCCGATCTCGATACCTGCTATGGGAGTTATTGAATAAGTGTAGCAATATTGGGACAATATGTTAGGCAACACAGTCGCTATAAGTACACACTTTGCAGATATTACGCTTAAGTTCGTTGGGGAAGTTGCTTTCTCCTTGGTGATAAAAGAATCAATATGTGAGACATCATGGTGATATCAGGCACTCATCAAAATGATGAAAACGAAGAAACAGCCATTTTTCTGCCAGTTTGGCAATTTTTAGCTAAATTTTGTTTTTTTTGTCTCCACACCTTTCACGTCCATCGAACAACCCATGTCATGTGTATTTGGCCTAAAGACGTTGATGAACCCTTCCAGCCCCAGCCATTTTGTGCCCTTCCTTACCCCAGTCCCAGCCAATACCGCGGTATTTCAGAGAAACTGGCATGCATTCTAAAAAGTGATCTAGCATCTTTGTAATGAGGTTTAGGTAATAACATAGAACAGTGTTCAAAGGTAAATGAACGAATATTATGAAAATTACAGTTTAATTAGGTTCGGTAATTTAGAAAAATGCGCAAAATTGGTACCTCCTGAAACTGAGAATATACGCTCTTGGGATGGTGGGAAGTACAAGCTCTGCTGAAAATATACGCTCTTGGGATGGTGGGAGGTACAAGCTGTGCTGAAAATATACGCGCTTGGGATGGTGGGAGGTACAAGCTCTGCTGAAAATATACGCGCTTGGGATGGTGGGAGGTACAAGCTCTGCTGAAAATATACGCGCTTGGGGCTGGAAGGGTTAAAGACGCATAATACGTAATTTTTCAATTTTCAAGGGCTCTCAAGCTATTCAAGTTTCTGAACTTTGACGGCCATTTTCTCACTAATTTTACCACTGAAACCAGTTGACCCCACATCCTTCAGTCGCAAATACCTCAACTTCCATTCAAGACAGCTGGGTATTTTTAAGCTTTTCGATGATAGCAATAACTCCACATTCCCAAAAATTGACGAGCACCAGATTCTACCGCGTCATGACACATATAGTCATAAAAGATTTGATCTCAGTTGTCATAATTCATACAATTACACAATTTCTCTATAAATTACACTCAAATTCATTGGAAAAGTTTTGATATATTTTGTTTTCCTTAGTTTAACACTTTGCCATCACATCTCGGCGATCAGCGATGTTTACCGCCCAGTTTTTTTTTATTTTCCCCCCAAATGCCTTTGCTTTTGATGGCAAGAGTTTTGACTCTCCAAGCCTGCGCTGCCAAGAGTGAAATGCTTGCAGCTAAAGGGATTTGAAAACTACAACAACAACCATACAAGCCTTGTGATGGCAAAGTGTTAAAGAAATTTGTGTTGCTGTAATTATAATAATGAGTTGTATTTTTGTGTGTGTGTCAAGTCATATAATATATATACTTTCTTTTACAAGACATAAATATACTTTCTGTGACTAGAAGTATATTTCTGTGACAAGGTATACTTTCTGTGACAAGACGTATACTATATATACTTTCTTTGACAAGACATATATACTTTCTGTGACAAGACGTATAATATATATACTTTCTGTGACAAGACATATATACTTTCTGTGACAAGACATATAATATATATACTTTCTGTGACAAGACATATATACTTTCTGTGACAAGACGTATAATATAATATATATATACTTTCTGTGACGAGACATATACTTTCTGTGCTTGCAGAAGCTGCTTCTTCAAAACATCATTGGCTATCTCTGTCACTCCGACACCCGGCGGCATCTGTACTTGGAGGTAATCGATGTTGTTTTAAAAAAAAAATATTTCCCGCTATTTTCTCTGAAATGGTTGACCCGAACTGTGCAGGGTACTGTATCTCAACAGAAAGATGGGGATACTTCGTAGAATATCTCTCTGATATAATCTGACTTGTGTCTCCTGGGTTCAAAAGGAAGAGCAGGACTATTACAGGAGACATTGTTCCCTTCGCTGATGAAAAATGTCCTTCTACATCTGTACTGACAAGATAAAATGTTAATTCAAGGAATATTTAAACACAGAGAATTGTTTCAGATAAGCACAATGACAAGCTCTAACTATACCAAGTAAAACTTCTTTTGTCAACCAGATGAAACAATGTAAGTAGAGAATACAGGCCAGAACATACGTCTACTCAGCAGTGAAGAGGTTTAAGTCAGAAATTGTCAAATGTTTTAGAACAATTATTGTGTGACATTTCAGATGGTTTTAGAATTTATTAAAGCAAAATAGATGTAGCATTTTCCTCTTTTAATGAGTACATAGATTTAATCTTGTCTGATATAAATCTTGTTCCTAACTTATGATGTGTTTGTCCTGAAATTGAAGGTAGATTTAGTTTAGTTTTTTATTGTTCAAGCTTTGTCAGTCAAAGGAAGTTATTCTTTCCCCTTCCGCGATAAAAAATAAAATTATTGAAATTTTAGGTCTGTACATTTCAACAGGTGGCCAATGGTAAACTTTATCTGATGTAGCCTGAATAAAATATGTACCTACCTGGCCTCCCTATCTTGTGGTGTGAACATACCTAGCCTACCTACCTACCAACCCACCTACCTATCTTATGGTCTGAACATACCTAGCCTACCTACCTACCAACCCACCTACCTATCTTGTGGTGTGAACAACCCTCTTTGTTCAGGTTATCGTGAAGCTGCTGGAGGTGTGGGGCAGCACCACGTCCATGCGACACATCTCGTCAGAACAACACCGCTACATCTCGCGGGCCCTCGTGGTGTGTCTCGGAGCTCTGCGAGATCAGGATATCGCCGCGAAGAAGGACGGTAAGCAACTTGGCTCCTTAGTTGAGGTGAAAATTGCTTTTGATTGATTCAGCTTTATAAAGTATTTTAACTCGTCTTTTATTCTTTGACTAGCAGTGCCATACACATCATGAACGATGTGAATGTGACCAGTGTCCTTAGTATAGAGATTAGAATTTAAATTCTGTGTATAACTACATGTGTTTTTAACCATTCATGTAAAATCACAGAACATTTACCGCAAGGACAATAAAGTATTCTCTTATCTCTCCTCACCTCACCTCACCTCCCCTCCTCTTACCTCCCCTCTCCCCCTCCCGTTCCCAC